TATAATATAAATATATAAAAATATAAATATATATATAATATAAAATTAAATTAATATATAAATATAAAAAAATACATTCAGATATAAACACATTATACCATCTTCCTGAAATGGACACCTTTAACTTCCTGGCCCAAATGGCCATAAAAAAACCCTCGCTTTTTAACTTCTGAAGGGTAGCAGGATCAGGATCAAACAAATCTTGAGCAGTGGGGAGATCATTCCAAAGTGCAGTGATCTCCCCAGACCTAGGTGATAGGTCCAGCCCAGAGGTAGGCAACCTTCTCAGGAATTCTGGGAATTGAAGTCCATGAGTCATAAAAGAGCCAAGGTTGCCTACCCCTGGACTCCAGCCAAATGACTTGGTGCACAGACAGGCCCGCAAGCCGATGTGGGAAAGTATATGGAATGGGAGGTCTAATGGGAGACAGACAATCCTGCAAATAACCTGGCCCTGTAGGACTTTATGGATGATAAACAACACATTAAATTGCATGTGAAAGCCATTACAAAGCAATGGCGATATACGGATATACTGTAATATTCCCTTCAGCATGAACTTTCTCACCAGTAAAATGGCCTAGTTAAAGGATAGAGTATCTGGAAAAAGTGGTAAGTTAAAACTGTCACATTTTTCTTCTAGCAAAGAGTCAAGATTGTGTAAGTATATCTATAATACATAAACCTATTGAGCCAAAATTCTTATTAGTGAATGGGAAGGAAATAGGTACAGCATCAGAATTGACTGTACTTGTCATTGGCCAAGTGGACTCCAGTCACTACGAATACTGCTGTAATTCATACTCCCTACCAGACTACACCAAGATCTTCCCTTTTTCCCCCCAGAGCCAGATTGGCAAGCCACAGCAAGATCCAATGCAGCCCTTAGATCACTTGATCATTTTCTCTTGATTCAATGGGGATGTTGTAGCAATTATTGTTGCTTGTGTCCCGATGGGCTGAAAAGTAAAGGTAATACACAATTGAACAGTTCCTCCCTGTCACTGCATTGGATTAGTAAGGATGAAAAAATCAGCTGCTATTAATGACAGAATGATAGTAACTCTAGATGGTGGAGTGGCTCTAGTAAGTAGTGGGCTCTTTGCCAGGATGTTGACCTTGATCTTGATAAGTAACAGATACAGGACTGAATCCCATCAACTATGAAACAAAACATATTGTATCATAAATATTAAAATATGGGAACTTTGGAATTTGCTCTAACTCCTGAATGGTCTAAGCATGCAGCTCCTAATTATTCACCAGAAAGTCCTGTGAAATCAGTAAGATTCCTTGAAGCTGTCATTCTGATTTCCTGAATACCCTGCTGGCAAAATGCCTGTTTACTTTTCATTGGTTTCACAACAAATTTGAGTTTTTAAAAGTGAGTGCTTAGTTTTTAAGTCCAAGACTGGAATTTACTTTAGATAGACTTTTCACTTTATTCTCTTTCTACCCTCTATTTAGGCCTCTGAGAGTCATAAAATAGAACAGCATGTCCATTACAGGACAGCATAATGTGGCATTTGGTTACATTTTTACTGAATTACTACAGCTTGCATGATCAAGATATGAAGTCAAAGCAGAACAAGTACTTTTAAAATGACAAATCTTTATTTTGCAGCAGTTATATAACTTCATTCCTATATGTGCCCCCCACCCCAATAATTTGCAGGCTGTAACATAGTTTAGGAAGCAGGAAAGTATTCTAAATAATTGCAAGCCTCCTGTACAAGACCTCCATTGTTCCCTGCTGTAATTAAGGGAGTTATCACATTTTCTTTTACCTGTTGGTCTTATTTTTAGGGCACTAGCGGACTATAACCTGAAATCATTTTGGAATCATTCTCCAAAATTCTTGTTTCATTCACTTGTGGCATTTAGATAAAGAAGCACCAGTTTTGTGGGGTTTCCTTCTGAACTTTATTAACGCCTGTTTGAAAACAGATTGGGAAACTAAAAGCCAACGCCCTAAAAAGCGAACACCGTTCCGATTTCCCATCAGCAAGTTCACTCTGGCCGCTTGAATTTCATAGTGGACACCATTCTCTGGCCTTTTTTTTACAGAACATAACTGGGGGGGGGGGTCGGAGAGGGAGGGACACTTGGAATTCCCGAAGCATTTGCTTGGCACCAGAGAAAAAAAAAGGGGGAGGGAGACGACTATCCTACAGGTGACGATCACATTCTGGCCATTCCGCAGCCTGCAGGTCTTGGCTTCGAGGCCCAGCTCGATTCCCACTGGAAACAACCAGGAACCAGGCGAGGCGGAGTTAACCGCAACTTCGCCTGTGCACATCCCACACCCTTGCCGCTTCGCGTGTCCCGCACGGCCGCGCTGACACTGCGCCAGCCGGCAGCTTTACAGGCAACTCCTTCCGCACCGCCGCCACCCTGCAGCAGCCTCTTAACCTCCCCGCCTTCTGCCGCCGCCGGCGCCCTCCAAGCGACGTCCGTCCGGCCTGCTTGGCTTGACAAGGCGCCTTCTCAAACAGACCCCTCCGGTGCACGGCGCAGTCAGTCTGGGGCTGATCTGCAGTAAGGGGTCGAGGGCTAGCGCTCGCCATCCTAGCCTCCACACCTAGCAACAGCTTTGACAGGACGCAACCGCCGCCGCAGCTACAGCGGGAGGAGGAGGAAGCGGAATGGCCGCCTCGGCGGCGGCTGCTCCCTCCCCACAGTCCTGACAGCCAGAGCCGGGGCGGAAGCAGCAGGCGGCGTGCTGGACTCGTCCTCCACCTCCTCCGGGTCTCGGCGCTCTACCGCTGCCAATGCAAACTCAGTCGTCTTTGCGGTTGCATATGCGCCTTGCAGCCACCCGGCCATGTACCTCCGGCAGCTACTCGCCGCCGCCTTCCGTCATCCTCCCCACCCTCCAACACACCCACCCGCCCTCGTGCCTGCTCGCCTGCCATCCAGCCCGGCACCCCTTTCCCCGTCAAGCCTCTACCCTCATTCATCCCACGCTCGATCCCGGCTGCAGTCCCGCCCGCTCCCTTGACCCCACGCCCCTCCTTTCCCGCTCCGCACTCCATGCTGCTGCCGCCCAATCCTCCGCCCTAGCGCGGCTGGGGAGGGGGATCCCTTTCCGCCACCCCACCCCCGCCGGCTGCCTCCCCCCCCCGATGCCCACGCGTCACCCGGCTGCACTGGCTTACCGATATGGTTGTCCTCGATGTGCTCGATGAGCTCCACCAGGGTTGGAAAGTGAAGTCCGCAGCCCCCGAAGCGGCAGGTATTGGAGAAGAAGGAGGCGGCGGCGATGCCTGTCATGGTGTTGCATGGAGATTCCTCCCGCCTCCGCTTTGCGGTGCCTACTCTGCCAGGGCCGCCGGCGGGAACGGGAGAGCCAGCGAGAGGAGATGGAGAGCGATCGGGCGAGAGAGGCTGGGGGTTGGGAGGAAGAAGAGTAGGAGGTGGCGGCTGCAGCGTCGGGAGCGGCGGAGGGGAGGGACGGGCTGCTGGGTGGGGGGAGATGAGGCAGGCGCAGCTGGGAGGAGGGATCATTGCCGCACTCAAACAGCTGGGCAACCCCAGCCGTCGCTGCCTGCCTCCGCAGCGGGAGCCTAAGACCCGGGCCACGTTGGGCAGCAACTGCTGTCGGCGACGAGCGGCCAGCAGTTTTATGCTGGGCGGCAGCGTGGGCGCGGAGGGGAGGGGAACACAACAGTTGGGGGTGTGTCTGAGCCTATTCCTCAGTAACTTCTTAAGTTTTTTTTCCCCCCACACGCGATAGAAAGATGTCTGCAGGAAAGAGCCCAGCGTCCCTCTTCAAGAATGAAAGTTGAATAGCTGGAGCTGGGACTGAGACTCAACACAGTCAGATCCTGGGTTCCAGTGCTGAGGCCTGCTTGGGGTACAACATTTGCTCCCCTTCCCCCATATATATCATCAGACCCTACATATAGAACATTTAGGATATAAAGTTATTAAGGTAGTTTTCCAGAGGGGAAAAAAAGATTGTTACAGTTTTTACCTTATACAGCTTCACAGCATTTATGTTTCAAATCTTCCTTGCACTGGGGGAAGAATTTATATAAGTGGCCCAACACTAAATTTAATAGCTTTGAGATATGAATCCAGTCCCAATTATGTCAGTATGCACGATTCATCTCTTATTTCAAATAACATAGATTCATATTCTTCCATGTACACAGTACATTTTACAATGACATTTTACAACCTGCTTTTTGTTAGTGGCCAAAAAAGAAATATAAGATATTTACACCAGTTAAACAGCATTTTGCAATCTATCCAGACTAAGTTTACATTACATTAAATCACAATGTGGTTTGGATTTAGTTTAGCTTATTGCCTGAAGTTAATAATGGTTTGTAAATTGCTTTGTAAATCATGGTTTGTAAATTAGGATTGGGATTTATGTGTTGTAAGAACTTGCCAGGTGTTCAAACTCAAGAAGGGTATTCTTTAATTATTAAAATTATTATTTTTAAAATAATTTTAAATAGTGCATGTACAGATCCATATGTAGTGTAGATCGGGGTCCCCAACCCCCGGTCCGGGACTAGTACCAGGCTGAGGCATGCCAGCAACCGGGCTGCACAAACAAGCAAAGCCCCATCCCCAAGATGCAGGCAGTACACGAAACCATGCCTCCTCCAGTCTGCGGAAAAACTCTCTACACCTAACTGGTCCCCAGTGCCCAAAAGGTTGGGGACCTCTGGTGTAGATGGCATAACATATTGTGTATTTTATGTACTGTATATACATAAATATGGCACTTTGTTAATTTGGGCTTGTCCAGTGTTGCAATTTGATTCACCTATATTTTAGTAATACTAATAATACAAGGCTTTGGATGTGTTTAATAAATAAAAATCATGGTGCTATAATTTGTTTGCTTGGTAGTATCCGACCTTTCCTTCAAGCATTCAAGCCAGCACATTATATATAGCTTCTCTCTGAGTTTTTCCCAAGTCCAACAATTCTGTGGAAGGAAGTTGGCTAAGAAAGTATAACTGGGTCAGTGTAATTCACTAAATTTCCAAGGCTGAAGTTAGACATAAATCTGGATCTCCCAAGTTTAGACCAATACCTTATCTTACTTAGATTCTGAAGTAGACAGTTTGGAAATGAAGATTTTTAACTATTGGCAGAACACCTTTAGTATATTTTAACCTTCAAAAGTCATGCAACTTTATTCTGTAGCATCTGACATCTGTGATCTAATTCCAAGATAGCCCAAAATACAGAAATCCAAATAGAGTTTATCAGGGCATGTGAACAAGAGAGTGTTTCGGTGACAGATCATATGAAAATAAAAAGCACTTCATGGCACTAAGCTATGCTCCTTTTTATACTCCCAACTATTTGAGTCATCAAATCTTAAGAGAAAATTTCAACCCAACTCACTTTTGTTTTCAAGTTAGCCAACCTCAAAACTTTGAGCTCCAAAGTTCAACTTGAAAACTGTTGAGAGCAATTTTTTTTTCAAATTAAATAAGCTCAGCTGTCCAACAAGAACAACAGTATGAGATCACTGAATTCATAAGCCAGTAAGAAGCCATCCATATATCAAGCGTGGAGAGATCGTATGTGAATCTTGGTGATAAAGGGAGATTCAGAAAATAAGGCAAATTAGATATCATTCTTCAAAGGAAATGAAAGCTGGTCTGAAACTATTCTTTGGACCTGAAAAGAATTTATTTTTCATATAGTAATCAAAGCTGAAGATTTTGTAAAATACAAATACAAAATACAAACCTTCAACTATTTTGTGAATCCAATTCACTATTATTGACTTTTAGGTACAGTATGATAAAGGTTTGGGAATGGGCACCTTCTCTCTCCCAGCTTGCAAAATGTCCAGGACTGAATCTATTTCCAAAATGCAAAACCTTTGGTGATGCTTCAGTATAAAAATTGTGGGTTAACTAACACATCCTAAAAGTTGAGTTTAAAGACTGGTGGTGCTACTATGAGTGTTGTACATATTTTAAAGTGATTTCATATTAATATATGTACTAGTATATTGATGTTGCAAGGACATTTTTAATTTACTAAAATAGTGTGACCCAAGCAACCTTCAGACAGGAAAGCCTTATATTAACACATGATTTAGAGTGTCTTAATGTAGCTTTAGTTTGTGCCCTTCAGGTTTCACGTACATCAGGTGTTTTCTACCAGGTGGTGAAAAAATCTGTATGGTGAAAATGGTAAGGCATTATGTTGTACATTGGTCACGAATGTTCTGTAAATTTCCTCTCCTGTTTTGCTCCTACAGGTAGACCTTGATTACAGCCATTCATTTAGTGACTGTTTGAAGTTACAATGAGACTGAAAAAAATGAATTATGACCATTTTCCATACTTGTAACCATTGCATGGTCCTGTGATCAAAATTTGGATGCTTGCTAACTGGCAGTTGCAGTATCCCGGGGTCCTGTGATCATCTTTTGTGACCTTCTGACAAACAAAGTCAATGGCAAAGCCAGATTCATTTAACCACTGTGTTACTAACTTAACAACTGCAATTATTCACTTAATAACCGTGGCAAAACTCACTTAACAACTATCTTGTTTAACAATAGAAATTTTGGACTCAGTTGTGGCTATACATCGAGGACTACCTGTACTTTAATTCTCAGGGTGTATGGAAATTCTTTATCATCCAGGTCAGGAGTAGTCAACCTTGGCTCTTTTATCACTCGTGGACTGGCTCAGGAATTCTGGGAGTTGAAGTCCACGAGTCATAAAAGAGCCAAGGTTGACTACCTCTGATCCAGGTTATGTTTAATCCAAAGGTGCTTTTCAAAAGGCATCTTGACTTTCTCAGCTTTTTTTTTTCTCCTTGAAAACATTTTCCTTCTCATCCAAGAAGTTTTTCAGTTCTGACTGAATGGTGGAGAATGGAAAGATTTATATTCCTTAGCATCATCTGGTACACTTGGAGGTTTTTTATCTGTACTCTCACCTGGTCACCTGAAACAGAGTGCAAATGGGTCTGAAATCTTCTTGGGATTGCTAAAAGAACTTCTAAAAGACCCATTTTCACTGTGATTCAGGTGACCCTGACAGTACAGACAAACCTCCAAGGGGCCTCAACAACTCTCAAACAGCTAATTATCTGACCTTCAGAGTGCTAGCAGCAGATGGCTGATAAGGAATATAAATCCTTCCATAAGAATTTTGTTTTGTTTTGTTTGGGGAACAATTCTCAGGGTCATGGCAGATTTCTGTTAGGGGATGTTTTCCCTTACAAAAGATACTGAAGCTAAGAGTGAAATGTACTTAAATTTGATTGATAAATACACGAATAAAATGTTTATGTAATTAAGGCTGTCAGTGCATTAATTCTGTATTCTTTACTCAGAGATTTAGTTCTCACAGACAACATGTAAGTAATTATGGAGTTCGACAATAGCTCACTTTTCATCATATGAGTGATTTGCATATAAGACCACAACTTCTGCTCTACCCTCAACTATGTAAAATAGACCTTCTTTGGTTTGGGCTTAGTAGCTTATATGAACTCACTCGCATGATTTTGAATTTCCCAGTTTATGAAATTTGCATGCAGCATTATCCCAATCAATTGCTTCAGTCTGGTGTGCCAGTTGTAAAAATGTAGTGGTGATTTTGGAAGCAGATACATTCATGGAAAAGGCCAATAAAGATATAGTACAAACAGATATTTTGAAGACTTCATTTGCTTGTTCAGGGAACTAGTCATACAATGATTCCATCTTGACATAAATGCACTCTAGTCATATTATTTTGAAAATGAGATATTAATAGCAAAATCAGAACTTACTTAGTCTGTATAAGAAGGATTTTTACTTTAGTCATCATATTCCCATTTTGCTAGGCAATTTGATCATTAGCATATCAAAGTGAGCAGGAAAGGATCAGAGGTAACATACAAAATGAATGATACACCCTTCAAGTATGTTAAAATGCATGCAATTGTCTAAGAACCTATATTAGCATTTTTGATATTAGAAAACAAATCATCATAGAATTAAATTGATTATTAATTTAATAATGCCATCTCCCTTTTTAAAAAAATAAAATAAAACCTTTTATTTACAAGACAATCATGGAAATCAATTTTTTTAAAAGAATGCTTGCTTCTGAGAACACCTGTCCTAAAATAGTTTTCTAAAAGTTTAAAAATGCTTAACATAGGGTATACCATAAGCAGTGTATAAGTACAGTGCCTCTAAACAGCCACTACTACAAAGTTGCAGGACTATATTACTGTCCCCAATTTTTGAGGTAGACTGTTTTTTCTTCAATTAGAGAAACTTTTTC